GAATTGAAGGAAAGTGTCAAAAACGTGGCAGATATCTTTTTCAGAGCAGTGCTGCAAAGTCGGTGGTACCAGAGCTGGGGTAGAGGGAAGGGGCGAACGTTTGGAAGAACCACTTCATCGACCCAGGCGCCATTTGGAGCATGGTTAGGGGCAATTTCGGCGGTGATAGAGACAGTATTCGTGTTTTGCATAGAAAAAAAAAGCACAAGAAGAGAGAGAGAGAAAGAGAATGGAACACATCCATCCGAGAACGGATATTAGCTTGTTCGATTTCTTGGAAATAATGACATCGAAAAATGGGGCTAAAATGGGGCCACTTGATGTACCACTGATGGGATGTAAGTGCGACCAAATGGGATAATGCCCTGTTTGCGACAACTGGGAAACTGTTCGACCCCCAGAAATTGTGAAAATCGGCCTCCGTTTCTATCTTAAACGCATTTTCTCATAACCCGACCCTCACCCTCGCCCACAGCCAGACTGATGTTGGTAGCTTCATGTTTCAACACCTCTCATAAAGGAGGAAACGTTTACAGAGGGACTAAAGACTCGATGTGAGTCTACATAGAAAATCATCGATTTCCTCGTTTACTGCATGATTTTTATTAACAAAATCTTAGCCCAAGTTTATACTCTGCTCAGTTAGGGAGTCTCTAGTGGTGCTCGTAAAGTACGGAAACGATCCAGGCTGAGTTTAGTTGTTACTGAATCTGCAAAAGGGGTCGAAAGGTCGATAGAATCTAAGGGTTCAATAGAGCACAGCCCCATAGCTAGAAATGATTTTGAGGTTAAATTGCGTATATGAGGGAAGTACCCAGTTCAAGCCCAGGGGGAAGCATACACACACATGCACATCACATCGTCCCATTTGTTATCGAACAGCTGCTTGATTGAGAATATTACTGCACTCCGCCATAACTCTCCGTCGATTTAACCCGAAAAGCCCCAGCATTTCTCTGTTCACAACGTTTTCGACCGTAGTCACGAATCACCTTATAAAATATGCAAATACATCAAAAAAAGAAACATTCACGAAGTGCACGAATCGATAAAGCTGTAACGGAGAAATGTCGCTCACAATCAGGTAGAGAATGCTGGCTCCAATGAGAAACAACTCCATGAGAGCCCATCCGCGAGCCTCTTGGCCACGACGGCGAGCACGACATACGACTGGTATCAGTGCCAAACAGGCTACTGCACAGGCCGCATTCGCCACCAGCAACATCGGACGATCTGAAATGAATTTGATAGGCTTGGACTTCGCTTTCACGTTCCCCAAGGTAGTTCGCGACATAAAAGTTGGTCATTAGTCACGAGCTTTTGCCCATGCATCCAAGGCAGAAAGTACATCTACATAGGAAATGAACATTGGCCCCCATACTTTCGCTTTACATCGATGTCATTAGCGTGCAATTGAGGAATTAGGCAATCAGGCTCACTTCTGTCCGGATCTGTCCTACAAAGGGCCGAATCTTCGCCCTTTCCACAGCACGTCTTCGCCAATACACGCAAACCTCCATGAACCGTCCATGTGCACTGAAAAGAAATGCTGAAATCAATGTGTGATTGCGTACGAAGCAGCAGCAGCAGCAGCCACTTAAGACCTCTTCCATCATTCTCTTCATGGACGGATAAGCAAAAGCGGGGCTAAAAAGAGGCCCTTCTGAATTGTGTGTGGACAACTGCCATGGGGAATGGAGAGGCAGTAGAATGGAGGACAGAAGAAGTCTTTCCATCCGCATAGATTATGAGAAAGACAACTAAAAATTGTGGCTGCTTCTACAAGACGGGGACTGCTCACGAAAAAAAAAACCCCGAAGCTCGCAGCATGTGGACGGAAACCATGGACTGGGGAAATGTGAGCTTCGTTAGACTGGGTAAATCCACAACAGCTGGGGGTTGAGATAGAATTTATGCGAACAAGGGGGGATTAGCAGGTTGCGCTGATTTGGCTTGCGCGAGCGAGCCCCCCTCCCTCTGAAGATTGCAGCAGCAGCAGCAGCAGCAGCAGCAGCAG